TTTGTGAAGGAAATAACTCCTCCAGTTGGTTTTTAATGGCAATTTTAAACCCTACATAGAGTTTTACAGACACTACCGCACAAGAACCTCAGTTTTCACAAACTTATTTAAAAAGTTTTGTGGTCACAGGATGAAAATTGGAGAGACCTTGCAGTTGTATTAAAACAATTCCCTGGCTATTAGGTAGTTTTAAAGTAGGCATCATACACATTTGGCCATACCTTATTAATCTTTGGCTAAAATTTGTAGAAATTTCCATCAGTCCTGATTGTAAATGGAGCAAGTAAATGTAAAATTTGCCCGAGTGTCACATAATTATTGCTCAAAAAATTATTTAACAGTTTGGATTTAATGAATCAGCATGTCTTGTTCTTGATGTTACTAATTTAGGCATTTATGTAATTTGGAACAGTGCCCCAAATAAAGACTCAGGCCCAGGTATGGGATTCTACCATGTCCAATCCCATGGAGATTGTGCGAGCTATAGAGTAGTGTACCATACTGGGGAAAGCTGGTGCTAGTCTTAAAGACTATGCCAAGAAAAAAAATTCTGCAGGACTCTCATTGCCCCCTATTAATGAAATGATTGGTTAAACAAAAATCACATTATAACATTCCCGCCTTTGACTGTAATGTTGGTGGCATCTGCAAAATGCAACAAGAGGATTTAATTACACTCTGTGTCTACCCACTTAAAAAGACTTGGGAAAATAGCCATTTTAACATTAGCTGGCCACATTTTGAGATAATCAGCTCAGAGAATGTGGAATTGGCTTGATATAGATAACCAGCTGAGGACAAATGAACAGATTCCACTTCCTTGTAGTGGCTGGTTAATTTGGCAGTCCCTGGCTCATGACAAATGTGTCATTTGTCTTATTTGCAGCAGATTGTGTGTGATTTTTGCACACCAACTCAAACTTTTACGATATGGGTTAATTTTGCCATATTGGCACAGAATATTATAATTTCTGTTAGTGGTATGCAACTAAGGCAGTCTGCATTCCATGAGCAAGGAGCTGTTGTGGTAAAAAATAAAGAATCTGTGGTAAACAGAGAAAGGATGAGTGATTATTCTGTGCTTCCAACTACAATCCCATGCAGGCCTACACAGCAATAAAGCCTACAACATTCAATTGGACTATTCTAGATAAGTGTGTGTATGAGTGTACCCTGAATCTTGCAAATACAGATTGGTGTGCTTGTTGTGCCTCTGTGCTTACACAGTGGGTTCACGGTGTCTTCAAAGGATATTCAGATTCAAAGGCAATAGTAAGAGTCTGTACTTAGCAATGCACAGGATGTAGGTAGGGATGCCTGTTGCTTGGAGTTTCATTATGTTTAAGCCTAACAGGATTCTGCAACATTTCTGCCTCAGACAGGGTTGGTGGACTGTAGCAGATCCCAGCATGCATTCATCTTCCCCACTCTTTGCCCCAGATGATGTTCACTGATGCCTAGATACAGAGAGAAAGGTGTGGAAATGCCTCTTCTTGGTATAATTTCTGCTGTCCCAGCCAGCTGTAGTATGTATGTGAAATATTGAAGACATTTGATTTCCTGTTTCTTTCCCAGTGAATGTTTTCTGCCCTGCTGCATAGGATCAGGGCATGACTGCTTACATATATGCATGCAAACTTGGTGAGGAATTTTACATGACTATTTGAGATTATCCGATTTCAGTTTCTGGTAGGAACTATCTGGGCCAGCTAAGCATTGAGTTACAACATGGCGTAGGCATCTCAGGGTGGGTCTGGTGAAAGACAGCTGTGTCACTAATCGTGTTCTGTCCATTAGATGCCTCTGGTACTCGCATAGCCTCATCCAGGATTGCAATCAACTTATCAACCAATGTGCTATCTGGGAGAAACATACCTTTTCTTAGTGCGAAAATGTTAGTTTCTTCATCTTGAAGACATCTGTATCCCCTGCAGCAAATGGGTTATGATTGTACACGGGCTGAGGCTCTGTGGATCAAAAGAGTGGCAGCAGTAGAATTAAAGTACTCATTTCCCCACTGGACTGCTGAGAGAAACAGCTGTAACATAGTTCCTTGATACTACTTCATACAAACCCCACTGAGTTCAGTGAGCTCCTAGAACTCTGGTCGTTTTACAATACTTTCATGATTACTGTAGACTTTCTATGCTTAGCATCAGCAGGAATAAAATCTGGCAGCATAATGCTGTATCAATGATACAGTAATGATGCGTGATTGTAAATGCATGTGTAAAGAAAATTGTTGCTGAATAATGTGCTGCTATTAAGCTGAAGTAGTTGGAAAATATAAAATGGAAATTTGTTTTTAAATTTTATAACATGGATATACTGTGTTTTATAGGCATTAAGGGGGGGTTGCAACAAAACAGCCCTTTTTGTTTGAAGAGCGACTGATAAGTCTGGATGACAAATGCATACAGGTTATAAATTTCTGCTTTTAAAATCTACTACTTGCTTTCATAGTATCTCAGCTCTTCCACCAGTTTAAATACCAGCTTCTGTGGTGACATCTGGTGGTAGCTCATAAATTTCTTGAACGATATTTGAGTCTAAGAATTATTTCAACTGAAGTTAGAAAATTATGGGGTGAATTTACTGGGATGGAGTTGGAAACAATTTCTTCCAGTTAAAAAAACCTTGATAATAAAGTAAGTCAACCCTTCTCCCTAGTATTTGATTTAGCTCATGAAAATCGCAGTCTGTAGTCATGTCAGCTGCTGGTTTGCTACTTCACTCTGTGCTTTTCCAAATTTGCTTTATGGAATTGGAAACTAATAGCAGAGAAAGCTAAGGACATAGGGGGCACTTGAGTGTTCCACAGGGGTTCAGTATGAATTAAATGGAGAATGTTTTGGCAGTTTTTTCTGTTTAAGTCATCTACAAGCTACAAAAACAAACAGCACTGATAACATATTCGCATATTGTTCAGTGTCTGAGCCTAGTCTTTAAGTGGAAAATAGAGGGAACAGCAAGGAATTTTGCATTTTGTCTTGATGTATGTTCTTCACTTGAATAGTATGCACATTCAGTAATTGCATCATCTAATGTAATTTGGAGACTATGCATGTTGTGATTTAAAAATCTCTTTTTTAAAAATCAATTGGCCTTAAATGTTACCAGTTCCCATAACATCTGCTGATTGTGCATGAGTATCATAGTATAGGCAGGGACTGATACCTCCCCGCCCCCCCCCCCCAAAAAAAGAGTGGTTGTGGGCATATACACAGACTGTTCTTAGTATACCATGGGTGAAAAGGAACAAGACTCAAGGTGATATCTACACTGTAAGGAAAAGGTAGCAAGTTCATTGAGAGCAAAACATAATGTCTAGATAGATACTGCAGCTGCAATAACTCTACACAAATTGCCCCTTGAATTTTTTTTGCCTTATTAATGGACAGCAAAACTGGGGGTGGGGGGGCTATTTTACTGAATTTCTCCTGGAAAAGAGAAATTCTATAACAAATTGCCATGGGTAGGCTCACTGTTAGCAGTGATTCTACCACAATTTCTGCATTTGCTGGAAGTTTGTTTTTATACTGGGAAGGTTATTTGGTTGAGGCTATCATTAAATGGCAAGTAATGTGTAAAATAGGAAAATTTCCAGAAGAATTTCCAGTGTTTTGAATAATAGTATCTGATTTGACTAATTTTACACACCCCTCACAGCACACATTCTCCTTCACTGAGTACACAAAATATATTTAGTAAACAGTACTAAAACTAATCCATGTCAATTTCATGTGCAGTAGAAATATACATCTGAAAAAAAAAAGAACTGCTTTAGGAAATATCCCAAAAGAGCTGCTATATCTTACATCAGCAGTTCAAAACTCTTTTGCTGGAGTCATTATAGCCTCTTCAACTTCACTCGCTGTTTGTTGGTTCCTCTTCAAGTTGAGAAGAAATCTGATTCAGAACAACTGGTTGAAGGTTCTGTTTTACTAAAGGATGGATATGAGTCCATGGGCACAGGCAGGGGAACTTGGGGAGGAAGACCCTGTTGCACACATGTCCTGCATGCCAGGATCCCTGGTTGACAACTGTGAAGAAAATGGCAGACCAGACAGTCCCTTCATCTAATCCAGCATGGATGCTCTTACATTTTTAAGTGAAAGAAACAGTGATCATGGTCTTTGTAACAGTTCTCTTATTGAAAAAGGTTATCAGTAGAGGGCAAATACACCATGTATACATCTGGTCCAGAGCCAACCAGGTGCCTGCTGTGTTAAGCACGGAAAGGAGTTGTCATACTTTACTTTTCAGTTCCTCCAGTGGCAACAGAGTCACTAGGGTGTGCCAACACTTGCTATAGAAGAATAACCTAGAAAAGTTCATATCCTATATTTAGTTCATCTACCATGATTCTGCATGATACATGCCCAGACAACTCTGCATAAACCCAGGCATATACAGTGTGTAAAATTTCCATGGGAAGATACAACAAAATACCTGCCACATGACAGCAGCTGTTCTGCAGCCTGGCCACCATGATTCTGTTCCATGTAGCATTCCTCCCGCACATGGTGTGTGAGAGCCAGGGGGCAAATGGCCACTGTCAGGAAAAAAGTGGAGAATATTTGGAAAAGGTGACAGATGCTTTTTCTGGGAGTGAGAAAAAGGAACACCCCAGTAATCTCATTGTAAAAGACTTTTGTCAGAAATTTTAGCTCAGCCTATATTAAGTACATTTAATATATCCAGTTCTAAAGATCTGATATGTAATGATGATTGTCTTACTCTCTTCTTAAACATTCTCTACACAGTGGGCTGAATTACGCTATAGTTTCTCTGACAGCTTCTTCAAGTTCACTTATAATTTGAGATTATGAAGTGTCCAATTTGGGAGGTTGCTTCATTTTGTTTTATGCAAAATAAAAACCCGTGAAATAAAAATGCTTGTTATTTGTGACTTGTGGCAAAGACTTTTTTAACCTTTTGTTTTGATGTCAGTGGTATAGTCTAATAACGCTGTTCCTTTTCTTCCTGTTTTGAAACAGGTAGTATCTCAACCGTTGATTTGCTTGATCGAGAGACTACTTCACATTACTGGGTAACTGTGTATGCAACAGATCAGGGTGTTGTTCCTCTATCTTCCTTCGTTGAAATCTACATAGAAGTACTTGATGTTAATGACAATGCTCCACAGACTACTCAGCCTGTTTATTACCCAGAAGTCATGGAAAATTCACCTAAGGATGTGTCAGTCATTCAAATCGAGGCCTTTGATGCTGACTCAAGCTCTAATGACAAGCTGACCTACAAGATTACAAGTGGAAATCCACAGGGGTTCTTCTTCATGAATCCGAAAACTGGTAAGTAAATACCAGATGCTGTTTCCTGATGTTCGCACTGATGGAATTGATTCTCTGGCTTTTTTAAGTAGGGATGAAAACAGGCAATGGGAAGAAGAATAGTATGTGGTTCTAATTTGTATCTGTACAAGAAGTATATGGGTGCAGTCAGGATTGTGCTTCAGAGTTGATCTGATATTCATACTGATGATATGCATCTCTGTTTCTCCTTTACATCTTTAGCAGCTCAGACTGTGGATGTGCTAAAGGGGTGCCTGGATTTAAAACATGGACTGGATAAGGGCTAATGAACTGAAGCTCAATCAGAAACTGAAATGTTTGTGGGTGGTTTCCCTGATGATTGCATGGAGATGCTCACCCTATTCTCAACGGAGTTGCACTTCCCTTGAAGGAGCAAGGTTATAGCTTGGGAATGTGCCTTGATCCATCTTTGTCACCTGAGGCCAATGACACAGAATTCCTCCTGCCAGCTTCAGCTGGTGACCTAGCTACACTCCTGTCTGGTCAGGGATAGCCTGGCTTCAGTAATCTAAGCTTTGGTAGTCTCTGAAATAGATTGCTACAATGTGCTGTATGTGGTGCTTTCCTTCAAGACAATTTGGAAACTCCAAGTTGTGCAAAATGTAGCAATCGGTCTCTAAGTGGGACCCTTAAAAGTGTTATACAGATAACTCCTGTTTTGGCCAGTTTGCATTGCCTGCCTGTATGCTTCTAAGACCAATTCTGGTGCTAATTTTAACCTTTAATATGTGGCTCAAGGCCTTAATAGATCATTGTTCCAACCACAATTTGCCCAGATCCTCATGATCTAGGGCGTCCTCTGACCTCCAGGGGAGACTCAGCTGCGGGCAACAGGAAGGAGGGCCTTCTCCAAGGTAGCCCCTAAATTATGGAATGATCTGTCTACTGAAGTCTTCCTAGCACCATCTTTACTAACTTTTTGGCACAAGGTTAAGACCATCCTCTTTGCTGAGGTATTTATTAACTCATGGGGATCGGCCAGGGTATTGCAGGCCTAACTTTTTTTTTTTTTGGAATTGTGTTGTAGTTCAATTTATTTGTTGCTGTTGTTCACTACCCAGTAAGCTTAAGTTGCTGGGAAGAATAGTAAATAAATAAGCAAATAAGTCTGAACATGTAATAAGGTCTTCCTTGAACCATACCACTTCAGAGTCCTAGAGGAGAATCATATTTAAACGTTTTCCACACAAAACCTTCTTGCATATAAAAATTTGATGCCTCAGCTATTCTCTTTCTCTCTAACATGCTTGGAATGGGAAGCATTTCAATCTGTGTTCTCAGTAACTTCAGAGAAGTCCTTTATTTCTTTATTGGATGTGTAGCCCACCTTTACACCAGAAAATGATACTCAAGGCAGCTTAGTCTTCTGTGATGGAGTGCAATCTTTCTAGCACTTGTTTTATAGTATGTTTCAACCATTTGAGATCTGGAAATCTGTTTCTAATCTTGAGTAGTTGGTGTGGGAGTTGTTCTGGTGGTGTCAGCAGTTTCATCAAACCCCATGGTTGTTGATGATGATGATGATGCTGATGATGATTTTATTTAAACTTTATACCACCAATAGCTGAGGCTCCCCAGATGGTTATTGAAAGGTAAAAGTAGTTGAAGCGAGTCTCTAGAATGCGATTTGCAAGCAATAAATATAATATTCAGATTGGCTGGTCATCTCAGCATTTCTGTTAATCATTTGGAATAATCTTGAACTTGAAACAATTTGGCCATATTGCAAAGATAATTTGGACATTTTGTCATCTTAATGTGGGTGTTTTTTATTTGTTCTGCAAGTGCTGAGCTGTTACAGTTTCAAGAACTGTAGCCTGTATATGAAATTTCTGTTGAAATGAAAATGATATATCATGTATATTAATCATATAAATATTTGTAACCAGCAACTTTCAGACGAAATGTAAATTGTTTCACTAATACAAATCCACAGTTTTCTATCCTGCATTTAATCTTGTCAGTGAAGATAAAACTGTGGAGGGGCAGAGGATGAGGAGAAAGCCAAGCTAAGATTAACTGCAGAACTTTAGTCATCATACAGTCTTGAAAGAAGCTATCTGTCTGTCTGCTTCATAGGTTTTATCCTTGAATCATCTGTCTTAAAGCATGATTTATCCCATTCATTAGCTTTTCAGACAGTTTCTTTTACTCCCTTTGTCATTTAACTGGTGGATTAAGCTTAAATTTTGCATCAGGTCTCCCAGTGCAGACAGTCTTCCATTTTTTCCCCTACATTGGTACCTGCATTGTTGGATGGTCCTGTGCATTCACCCATCCTCCTGTAGGGAGATATACTGGTTGCTTGCATGTTTCTTTTGGTAATATGTAGCAATAAAAGACATAGCTTTCAAATATTATTGATCTGCGCATACCATGCAAGTTTGACAGTTGCCATCCTAGATTATATAGCTACCTGCTGCTTTTGAAGTTACTAACAAAGATCTATTAGAAAAAAATCAAAAGGTGCATCTTGTCTTATCTTTTTCCAGTTTACTTACCGATATCTGTCTTCAGTTTGGAAAGTTCAACTATGGTTTAATGAAAAACCTCTTTAAAAGAAAAATGAAGATACAAAGCTCTTACTTCATTTTACTTTCTATATGCATTTATCTTTTAAAGGGTTTTTTTCCTGCTTTCATCTGGTTAAAAACGGGAAATAGTTTAAAGTGCCCCTGTTTTCACTTGCAGAAGTATACACACAGAGAAGAGAGACTCAAGTGAGCTGTGGATAAAGTTGTAAACAGGGAACATAGAATCTACTATGTAATTTGCATCCAGTAATACTACATTTAGATTAATTTGTTTTAAAAAGGCTCGTGTGAAATGATGCATTAAAAAATGTCCACTCTTTACAAAATAGCTGTTTTTCATTTCTTTCCTACAGTGTTTCCTCCTATATTAAGAAAGTTGTGTGTGCAAATCCTATTTTTGGTGGGGTTGAGGGCATCTTTTTTATTTAGAACAAGTTGCATCTTTTGGTCTCCTTTCTCTTTGAAGGAGAACATTCATAAGCACCACATGAAATTAGAAGACAATGGCTGCAATTTAAGCCTCCCAGATTGCAATGGCTCAGCCATATGAGCTTTTTGAATTCAAGTGGAGAGGAGGAAAGCCTTGTTAATTACCTGGGGACACAACTATTGCACATGGCAATTCACAGATAAAAATGGTTGATTGACTCCCCACTTCCCCATGGAGCTGCCTCTGAATCTTCTTTAAATGTAGATGGGGCAACACAGCAGTGCTTTTTTACAGGATGAGAAACAGGACTTACCAGATGCTGGGGAGGGCATTTCGCAGTGAAGCTTACAACTACCTTGTCTTCCTGGTAATAGATGCATAGTCACTTGTTTTTATTTAAAAACAAAGAGTGCTGCTTTGGCCTGAAGAACTGCCTAATCCACGCAGCATAATATGTTTATTAGACCAGTTTAGTGTTCAGAAAAATGTGCAAGATGTTCTCCGGATTGCTTCATCAGGCGAGAAGTTACATGGTATACATACATGTTTGGAGTGGGGAGAAGAGACTACTAGCTTATTTATCTATTAAATACATTCAGCTTCCCCATAGCAAGTTCTCTGAGATGCTCACAAAACAAGTACAACAATCAGAATAAATATGAAACAGTAACAACTGCTAAACACAAAACAAAACACACAGAAGACAAGGACTAGACAATAAAGTGTGTCTAATTTCAAAAGCCTGATGAACAGGGAAATGCTTACCTAGCACCAGAAAGATGGAGAGTCTGGTCCAGGTTGCAAAGGTTGTTCTACAGTCATGTTCCCACTGCCAGAGCAGCCCTCTTTCTAGTGGTCAGGTGCTCTGCTGCATTGGGAAGGGCTACTCAAAGCAAGGTCACTGAAAATGATTTCAAAGTACAGGCATACACATGTGGAAGAAGGCAGCCTGTCTGAGAATCTGCTTTCCAAAGTGCAGATTGGTTTAAAGGTTTAAACCACTATTTTAAATTAGGCTCAGAAAAGGACTAGGAGCCAAAGGACTAGGAGCCAGTGTAGTTAACAAAGCACATGTGTAACATGGTCAAATTGTCCCATCCCATGTAATAATCTCGGCAGCTTTGTTCTGCAGGATCTGGATAATTTTAAGGCAGCATCGTATATTGCAGGGGCGACCAGTCAGACTTGCTCAACAGAAGAGCCACATATGGTAAAGGTCGGATGTTTGAGTGCCACAAGTGGGAAAGTGGGTATCCAAATTTCTCTGCAGTGAGCATACAATTTGTATTAACCACTGCTTCCTCCATATACTGTTAGTTAGTGGGTCATTCATCAGTTTGGATTCTTCCTTCCACACTGTTTAAGTCTAAATTTGTTCTTTTACCTGAAGAAAAAGACAACAAAACTATGCATTTGCTAGTTCAGTGAGCCTCATTACATTGCTAAATGGTGAGAATTCTGGTCGTTAGCTCACTTGTTTTGATTATGTGTCTGTTTCAAAAACTACGCATGTGGACAAAGTTTCATAATGTTGTATGTTCCCATTGATCTTTTTCTTCTTATTTAGAAATAAATAGTGTTCTTACTCTCTTTATTTTATCAGTATTCTTTAAAGTATGCTTAGTACCTTAGTGAACTATATCTGTTGTATTGAATGAGCTTAGGAATATTTTAAACAAAGCACTTGTATTACTGTTAATGACAGTGGAGAATTCTCCCAACAAGATTTACTAGCATCTGTTCATCCTTAGAGTACTAAGTCATAAAATGTAGGAAGCCAACAGTAGATCTACTCTTGCAAGCTTAATTCCGCTATCATCTTACCACTCTTCTGACCCTTCAGGTCAACTGTGGTAGGTGATCTGAAGACTGAGAGAAGTGAAATAGGAAATGGGTGCAGCTGCAAACAACTTCCGATAACATGAGGAAACAACTTAGTGAGGAAATAAAAAGCCTGTGCTTGCAAAATAGCCTCATGTAGAGGAAACCTTTATTGTTTAATGAGCTGAGGTTTT